GCCAGGATGTAAGGGAAAAACAAGTTGACCATCGGTTCTATCCTGGCAAAGAAAGAACAAATCAAAGAAGCTGATGTTGCGAAAGGTGTTAATATGCTAACCAAAAAAAGACCACAAATAGTTGAAGAGGTTGAGAAGTTGTTGCTGGTGTGGATCAAGGACAAAGAGATGGCAGGTGATAGTGTTTCAGAGATGATTATTTGCGAAAAGGCAACGAAGTTGCATGCCGATCTGGTACAGAAAACTCCTGGAACCAGTTCACTGAGAGAACCATGTCCCATTTTAGGGAAATGTTAAAGAGGCACCAGAAACAGAGGACTGTGGACAGTTGTTTTGTGAGACAGGGGTCCAGTGACTCTCAAACTGGTCCTAGTGGCATTAAAAGACAGAGAAGGGAAGTAACCCCAGAGAGGGCTTTACCTGAAGTCCTCATGGAGGGAGATTCTCCTACTTTTAGTTCATTCACGTCCATTTGTAAGAGTTTGTAAAACATTTACCTCAATATTTTTTTATTTTAATAATGATTACCTCACAATACAAATACTCTTACATTGTGTACAAGTTGTACAAGTTAGTTCAGAATAAACAAACAGCAACATACCATTTTTAGAGTGAATGAAGATAATAATAATAATAATAATAATAATAATAATATTATTATTAATAATAATAATAATAATAATAATAATAATAATAATAATATTATTGTTAATAATAATAATAATTGTTATTATTATTTATTATAAAAAGCACTAAACCCACAAGGGTCATGAATTGCTATACATAGAGTAAAGGCATACGAAAAGAATATTTTTCTACAGTTACCCCCCAGTGTTTGACTAGAGAAAACGTAATTCTTCCGACACTACCTACACAGCTGCCTTGTAAACAAATCTCATATTTACATCAGTTTTTATTCTGAGTGTATGTATCATGTTTATATGCGCTGTAATGGGTTTCCTATATAATTTTGAGGAAAATATCATAGATGGATTAATGAAAATGCCTATATTGATGTAAAATAAGACATTTAGTGTGCCCAAGAGTGATTATTATTACGTAGTATTGGCGTCATGAGTAGAGAGAGACTTAGTGATTTTAATGTGTACCTGCACACCAGCACAGTGTGTAAGTATAATTAAGTACAGGTACACATAAGTATAATTATCAGAGTACAGTGGACCCCCGCATACCGTTGGCCTTACATAACGTTAAATCCGCATACCGATACGTTTTATCGCTAAGATTTTGCCTCGCATACCGCTAAAAAACCCGCTCAACACTGCTCGTCCGAGACGCGTCTGATGTGCGGCCTTAGCCACCCTCACATGTTCCGCCAGTGGCATTGTTTACCAGCCAGCCTCCGCGGTAATATCCAAGCATACAATCGAAATATTTCGTATTATTACAGTGTTTTTGGTGATTTTATCTGCAAAATAAGTGACCATGGGCCCCAAGAAAGCTTCTAGTGCCAACCCTACAGGAATAAGGGTGAGAATTACTATAGAGATGAAGAAAGAGATCATTGATAAGTATGAAAGTGGAGTGCGTGTCTCCGAGCTGGCCAGGTTGTATAATAAACCCCAGTCAACCATCGCTACTATTGTGGGCAACAAAAAGGCAATCAAGGAAGCTGTTCTTGCCAAAGGTTCAACTGTGTTTTCGAAACAGAGATCGCAAGTGATGGAAGATGTTGAGAGACTCTTATTGGTGTGGATAAATGAAAAACAGATAGCAGGAGACAGCATCTCTCAAGTGATCATAAGTGAAAAGGCTAGGAAGTTGCATCAGGATTTAATTAAAAAAATGCCTGCAACTAGTGATGATGTGAGTGAATTTAAGGCCAGCAAAGGTTGGTTTGAGAGATTTAAGAAGCGTAGTGGCATACATAGTGTGATAAGGCATGGTGAGGCTGCCAGTTCGGACCACAAAGCAGCTGAAAAATATGTGCAGGAATTCAAGGAGTACATAGAAAGTGAAGGACTGAAACCTGAACAAGTGTTTAATTGTGATGAAACAGGCCTGTTTTGGAAGAAAATGCCAAGCAGGACCTACATTACTGAGGAGGAAAAGGCACTCCCAGGACATAAGCCTATGAAAGACAGGCTTACTCTGTTGATGTGTTCCAATGCTACTGGTGATTGCAAAGTGAAGCCTTTATTAGTGTATCACTCAGAAACTCCCAGAGCATTCAGACAAAAGAATATCCTCAAGGCTAATTTGTGTGTGCTGTGGAGGGCAAACAGTAAGGCATGGGTCACTAGGGACTTTTTCTATGACTGGTTACACCATGCATTTGCCCCCAATGTGACAGATTACCTAACTGAAAATAAATTAGACCTTAAGTGCCTCCTGGTGTTAGACAATGCCCCTGGTCATCCTACAGACGTGGCAGAGCGACTTTATGGAGACATGAAGTTCATTAAGGTGAAGTTTTTGCCTCCTAATACCACTCCTCTCCTGCAGCCCATGGACCAGCAGGTTATTGCAAACTTCAAAAAAACTGTACACAAAAGCTCTGTTTGAAAGGTGCTTTGTAGTGACCTCAGAAACTCAACTGACTCTAAGAGAGTTTTGGAGAGATCACTTTAATATCCTCAATTGTGTAAACCTTATAGGTAAGGCTTGGGAGGGAGTGACTAAGAGGACCTTGAACTCTGCTTGGAAGAAACTGTGGCCAGAATGTGTAGACAAAAGGGATTTTGAAGGATTTGAGGCTAACCCTGAGAGGAGTATGCCAGTTGAGGAATCAATTGTGGCATTGGGAAAGTCCTTGGGGTTGGAGGTTAGTGGGGATGATGTGGAAGAGTTGGTGGAGGAGGACAATGAAGAACTAACCACTGATGAGCTGATAGATCAGCTTCAACAGCAAGAGGCCAGACCTGAGGAAACTGGTTCGGAGGAGGGGAGAGAGAAATTGAAGAAGTTGTCTACTACAAAGATTAAGGAAATCTGTGCAATGTGGCTGAAAGTGCAAACGGTTATGGATGAAAATCACCCTCACACTGCTATTGCAAGCCGTGCTGGTGACTATTACACTGACAATGTTGTGAAACACTTTAGGGAAGTCATAAAGGAATGAGAGGTACAGGCCACTATGGACAGATATGTTGTGCGACAGAAGTCCAGTGACTCTGAAGCTGGTCCTAGTGGCATTAAAAGAAGAAGGGAAGTAACCCCAGAAAAGGACTTGACACCTCAAGTCTTAATGGAAGGGGATTCCCCTTCTAAACATTAAGACTCTCTCCTCCTCCCATCCCATCAATCATCACCAGATCTGTTAGGTAAGACACATATGCAACAGTTAGGTATCTTTATTATGAAACGTTTCGCCTACACAGTAGGCTTCTTCAGTCAAGTACAGAAAAGTTGATAGAAGCAGAAGATACTTGAAGACGATGTAATCACTCCATCACCCTTAAAGTTTTGAGGTGGTCAGTCCCTCAGTCTGGAGAAGAGCATTGTTCCATAGTATGAAACAATATGGAGAAGAAGTGACAGGATGGAGCTTTTTATAGCGCCAAGAGGTGAGACGTAGGCCACTAGGAGAGGTAAGAACTCAGATGTTGTTGAGTTCTTACCTCTCCTAGTGGCCTACGTCTCACCTCTTGGCGCTATAAAAAGCTCCATCCTGTCACTTCTTCTCCATATTGTTTCATACTATGGAACAATGCTCTTCTCCAGAATGAGGGACTGACCACCTCAAAACTTTAAGGGTGATGGAGTGATTACATCGTCTTCAAGTATCTTCTGCTTCTATCAACTTTTCTGTACTTGACTGAAGAAGCCTACTGTGTAGGCGAAACGTTTCATAATAAAGATACCTAACTGTTGCATATGTGTCTTACCTAACAACCTGTCGGTATTTTATACCATTTTAATGTTCAATCACCAGATCTTCAATAAAGGTAAGTGTCATGTAATTGTGCATACCTTTTTCAGTTTGTGTGTATTAAAATTAATATTTCATGTGGTAAAAATATTTTTTTTTCATACTTTGGGGTGTCTTGCATGGATTAATTTGATTTCCATTATTTCTTATGGGGAAAATTCATCCGCATAACGATAATTTCGCATAACAATGAGCTCTCATGCACGGATTAATATCGTTATACGGGGGTCCACTGTACATATAAAATATGCAGTAACTTTAAAACACTTGAAATTTTGGAAAGTTTCCTGACATAATAGACGTGGTCACGGAAAATGTAAACAAACCGGGTGGGGGGGGGGCTGTATTTAAAAGACCGCTTGCCGTATAGCAAATTTTGGTCATAATTTGACATCGCTGTACATATTAGCGGAATGCCGTAAGGCGAAACGCCGTAAAGCGGGGCCTTACTGTATACAATGGACCCCCGGTTAACGATATTTTTTCACTCCAGAAGTATGTTCAGGTGCCAGTACTGACCGAATTTGTTCCCATAAGAAATATTGTGAAGTAGATTAGTCCATTTCAGACTCCCAAACATACACGTACAAACGCACTTACATAAATACACTTACATAATTGGTCGCATTCTGAGGTAATCGTTATGCGGGGGTCCACTGTATTGCTAAGTGAGGAGAGGCTGTATTTCAAAATTTTAGAAAGTATTCAACCTACAGGTGCTTCTTGACTTATAATATTTTGGCTTTACAATGGTGCAAAAACAATTTCCCAGCATGAAGGTGGCAAGTCTGTAACTTGTATTCATTTATTTTTTTCAATACTGGTATGTATTTAGTTACAGTAATTATTTGTTTATTTACTTATTCAGTGACAGTAGTCATTTATTTACTTATTAAGCATATCATATTCATAGTTGACTTAAGATATTTTCAACTTATGATGGGTTTGTTGGAATGTTACCACAGTGTAAGTCAAAGAGCACCTGTATTTCTGAAAATTTGAAATTAAAAAGTTTTGTTGGAAGTCATGACTTTGGGAGAATTTTGAGTGATAGTGTTGCAATGAGATTACTACAAATGTTTTTTAATATTAATTAATTGCTTTGTAGGTTTTAGTGAGTTTGGAAGATATCAGCCTTGAGAGTTCGTCTGTTCCTATTGGTGTGATATGGTCACTTGCTGGGGCTGTTCTGTATGCCTGTTACATGGTCTTCCTCAAACGTCGAGTACCAACCGAAGATCGTATGGATTTTACAATGTTCTTTGGTAAGTAAAATTCTTAGATATAGTGTTGATATTTTTGTTGAGGATTGTGTTAGGTTAGGCTTTTTTTTTTCACAGCTACACTGACAAATTTCATTTGAAATTTTCCTAGTGTATCGTTGCTATTGAGTTATATGAAATGAATTTGTTATTGTCAGACCATTTTTTGAAATTATGATTTTTTCCATTATTTTTAAGTAGTATCTTCCTAACACACACACATATAGTAGGCATCATATATAGGCATGCACATAAAATCACAGAAAATGCAAATGCTCTAAGTTATTGATTTCAATAAAAATGTTGAAATATGTATTAGTCACTCACTTAACCTAGTATTTCATATGGTTACCCTAACTCTTTATTCACTCCTGATGTCTCCTAGGCACCGATAAGGCTAAAATACAGAGGATCAGTTATGGAGGATAGAAGAATCAGTTACGAAGGATAGAAGAATCAATACCTATTCCCAATACATATATTATTTTAGTTGCATTGATTTTAAAATTGTTGTAAGTCGGTACAAATTTTCCTGCTTATATGAGTGTGTTAGATAGGAGTGAGTGAGGGCAAGTGGTTTTTATGACTTGGCATGCAGTTTGATAGCCAGGTTTGAGCCCTGGAGGTGGGAAGTATGGTGCCTACACTTCTAAGGAAGGGTGGAGATGTTGCAGTTCAGAGTATTATCTGAGCTGTAATATCAGCACACTTGTGGGAAGATAGTGATTGAATAAATGGCAGTGAAAGTGTTCCTTCATTTTCACTTCCCTACCTTGATGGGAGATGGCTTGTGTGTTAAAAGAAAAAAAAGTCACTATAACTATAATGTGATACGTTCCCATTTGTGCATCATTGCAAACTTGCCTTTCCAGGAAATAAATTTTCCTGCATTTTTCTTCTGTTCTTTGAGGTCCTTCAATCTTCATAGATCAACCTGCTAATACATTTACTCCCGAGGTACTTCAGTTGTCATACATCAATCTTATATAACATCTACTGCTTAACTCTAAATACTTTACTTCTAACAATCCATAAATCCCCACATTGATACTTTATTTTTTTATAACATGCTGGTCATCTCCCACCAAGGCAGGGTAACCTCTCCCCCCCCCCCAAAAAAAAAAAAAAACTTTCACCATCATTCACACTATCACTGTCTTTGCAGAGGCGTGCATTTATGACAGTTTAGATGTCACCCTAAACATCAAATATCCCAAACTCCTCCTAAAAGTGTACTTCTTACCTTCAGGACTCAAGTCTAGCTAACTGGTTTACCTGAATCTCTTCTTTATTGGCTCTAAACCTTTTGTACACACACAAACACTTTCAAATTTCTCTGCCAGCTTCTGCAGTTTTTTTTCAGTTTCATAACAACAGAGTCATCTGCAAAAAGAAATTGAAACAACTTGGGCTGGAAGTTATATTTATTATCTTTAGGACCACATTCCTTCCCAGAATATTAGCATTCCCTCTTCTTACAATTCCATTTATAAATACAGTAGTCCCCCCAAATTTGTGGGGGTTATGTTCCAAGACCATCCACGAATTTGAAAAAATCATGAATTCTGGACGCGGTTAAAAAAAATGCCTATAAATGCCTATTTTTATAGTTTAAACCCTAAATATGCCCCCAAAACACTTTAATTTCAAACTGAGCTTCATACATCACCCTTAAAAAAAAAAAGAAAGTACAGTGGACCCCCGCATAACGATATTAATCCGTTCATGAGAGCTCATTGTTATGCGAAATTATCGTTATGCGAATGAATTTTCCCCATAAGAAATAATGGAAATCAAATTAATCCGTGCAAGACACCCCAAAGTATGAAAAAAAAAATTTTTACCACATGAAATATTAATTTTAATACACACAAACTGAAAAAGGCATGCACAGTTACATGACACTTACCTTTATTGAAGATCTGGTGATGATTGATGGGATGGGAGGAGGAGAGAGTCTTAGTGTTTAGAAGGGGAATCCCCTTCCATTAAGACTTGAGGTGTCAAGTCCTTTTCTGGGGTTACTTCCCTTCTTCTTATAATGCCACTAGGACCAGCTTCAGAGTCACTGGACTTCTGTCACACAACATATCTGTCCATAGTGGCCTGTACCTCTCGTTCCTTTATGACTTCCCTAAAGTGTTTCACAACATTGTCAGTGTAATAGTCACCAGCACGGCTTGCAATAGCTGTGTGAGGGTGATTTTCATCCACAAAGGTTTGCACTTTCAGCCACATTGCACAGATTTCCTTAATCTTTGTAGTAGGCAACTTCTTCAATTTTCTCTCTCCCTCCTCCGAACCAGTTTCCTCAGGTCTGGCCTCTTGCTGTTGAAGTTGATCTATCAGCTCATCAGTGGTTAGTTCTTCATTGTCCTCCTCCACCAACTCTTCCACATCATCCCCACTAACCTCCAACCCCAAGGACTTCTCCAATGCCACAATTGATTCCTCAGCTGGCATAGGATTCCTAGGGTTAGCCTCAAACCCTTCAAAATCCCTTTGGTCTACACATTCTGGCCACAGTTTCTTCCAAGCAGAGTTCAAGGTCCTCTTAGTCACTCCCTCCCAAGCCTTACCTATAAGGTTTACACAATTGAGGATATTAAAGTGCTCTCTCCAAAACTCTCTTAGAGTCAGTTGAGTTTCTGAGGTCACTACAAAGCACCTTTCAAACAGAGCTTTTGTGTACAGTTTTTTGAAGTTTGCAATAACCTGCTGGTCCATGGGCTGCAGGAGAGGAGTGGTATTAGGAGGCAAAAACTTCACCTTAATGAAGCTCATTTCCGCAGAAAGTCACTCTGCCACGTCTGTAGGATGACCAGGGGCATTGTCTAACACCAGGAGGCACTTAAGGTCTAATTTCTTTTCAGTTAGGTAATCTGTCACATTGGGGGCAAATGCATGGTGTAACCAGTCATAGAAAAAGTCCCTAGTGACCCATGCCTTACTGTTTGCCCTCCACAGCACACACAAATTAGCCTTGAGGATATTCTTTTGCCTGAACGCTCTGGGAGTTTCTGAGTGATACACTAATAAAGGCTTCACTTTGCAATCACCAGTAGCATTGGAACACATCAACAGAGTAAGCCTGTCTTTCATAGCCTTATGTCCTGGGAGTGCCTTTTCCTCCTGAGTAATGTAGGTCCTGCTTGGCATTTTCTTCCAAAACAGGCCTGTTTCATCACAATTAAACACTTGTTCAGGTTTCAGTCCTTCACTGTCTATGTACTCCTTGAATTCCTGCACATATTTTTCAGCTGCTTTGTGGTCCGAACTGGCAGCCTCATCATGCCTTATCACACTATGTATGCCACTATGCTTCTTAAATCTCTCAAACCAACCTTTGCTGGCCTTAAATTCACTCACATCATCACTAGTTGCAGGCATTTTTTTAATTAAATCCTGATGCAACTTCCTAGCCTTTTCACTTATGATCACTTGAGAGATGCTATCTCCTGCTATCTGTTTTTCATTTATAGACACCAATAAGAGTCTCTCAGCATCTTCCATCATTTGCGATCTCTGTTTCGAAAACACAGTTGAACCTTTGGCAAGAACAGCTTCCTTGATTGCCTTTTTGTTGCCCACAATAGTAGCGATGGTTGATTGGGGTTTATTATACAACCTGGCCAGCTCGGAGACACGCACTCCACTTTCATACTTGTCAATGATCTCTTTCTTCATCTCTATAGTAATTCTCACCCTTATGCCTGTAGGGTTGGCACTAGAAGCTTTCTTGGGGCCCATGGTCACTTATTTTGCAGATAAAATCACCAAAAACACTGTAATAATACGAAATGTTCCGATTGTATGCTTGGATGTTACCGCGGAGGCTGGCTGGTAAACAATGGCACGGGCGGAACATGTGAGGCTGGCTAAGGCCGCACATTAGACGCGTCTTGGACGAACAGCGTTGAGCGGGTTTTTTAGCGGTATGCGAGGCAAAATCTTAGCGATAAAATGTATCGGTATGCGGATTTAACGTTATGTAAGGCCAACGGTATGCGGGGGTCCACTGTAAAGATAAACCCATATACAGTACTGTATTGCTATGTCTCCCAAAGTGCTAGAAAGTAAAATACTGATGTTACCCCCATGTGTACTACTGTAATTCGTGCAACCCCGTTTTTTTTTATATACACCTACCATCCGACTTACGACCGAATTCGGTTCCGAGAAACCGGTCGTAAGTCGAAATGGTCGTAAGTCGAACTTTACTACTGAATATCAACAAAACATTTTTGTAATGACTTCTATTTTATTGTTTTATTTTGGTATTTCATGTTTTACTTTACTTTTTATGTTGTTAGTATTGTATTTTATACTGTAAGGTTTAGAATAAACACTGTGTACAACACAAATAGTTGTTTATTTCCCAGAAATTTGGCATAAAAAACACGGTCGTAAGTCGAGTGGTCGTAAGTCGAGCAGGTCGTAAGTCGGATGGTAGGTGTACTTACAGTAAATATATGGTAATAATTTAATTTAGTAAAAGTAAAGTTAAATTTTTTGAATTTACGTTAATATTTATGTTACAAAAATTATTAAATTATATTTTTTCTTAATATTTAGCATTAAAATGCACAAAAAAATATGTATTGCCATGAAAAAAGCCCCCAAAAATTCCACATATTTGCAGGGATTTCCATGAACAGTTATTAGTTAGGTTCTAAGGAAAAATCCACTAATTACTGAAGCTGTGAATATGCGGGGGTCCACTGTACGTTAAACAGGCATGGAAACATCACAAAATATGTTTTTAATACACCGGCCATTTCTCACTGAGGGAGGGTGACTCGAAAAAGAAGAAACGCTTTCACAAGTACTACAGTTCAAATTCCCTCCAAGCTGCAAATATTCCCACCTCCTCCTTCAGAGTGCAGGCACTGTACTTCCCACTTCCAGAACTCAAGTATAGCTAACCAATTTTCCTGAATCCCTGTACAAAATGTTACCTTGCTCATGCTCCAGCAGCTCGTTAAATCCCAAAAACTGTTTATTTGTTTGTAATGTAGAGGGAGTGTCTTGAATGATAGAATTGTTTCCATGCTGATCTTCATAGACCTGCATGACAAGATACACTGTAGATAAACTGTGATTATTTATACTGAAATGTATTAACACCATCATTTTTTGTTTTTTAATTTTTAATATGAACATTTCTTTCAGGGTTTGTTGGTTTATTCAATGCCCTCATCTTGTGGCCTGGATTTCCCCTGATGGATATTTTGGGATGGGAAACATTTCAGTTGCCAAATCTTAAGCAGCTTGTCTACATGTCTATCAATGGATTAGTAGGCACTGTATTGTCTGAGCTCCTGTGGCTTTGGTTAGTAGTATATAATATACAGTTTGTTTTTAGCATTTTGTAATTACTGTATTATTTTTAGAAATAATATACAGTGGTACCTTGAGTTACGAACTTAATTCGTTCCAGAATGCTGTTCGAGTGCCGATACCGAACAAATTTGTTCCCATAAGGAATAATGTAAATTAGATTAATCTATTTCAGACCCACAAAAATACACTTACAAAAGCACTTACAAAAATACACTTACATAATTGTTCGAGTTGGGAGCTGTTTGAAACTCGAGGTACCACTGCATTTAACCCTTTGACTGTTGCAAGCCCATTTCTGAAACTGTCATTCTATGTTGCAAAATTTTTAGAAAAAAAAAATTATTTTTTCTTGTGAAATGATGGAGAATCTTTTCTCGATGCTAATGACGCCAAAAGTATGAAATTTGATTGAAAACTTACGGAATTACGCTCCCACGAAGTTAGCGATCTCGATGATATATACACATCGGCGAATTTGCCGACTTTGTTCCCTATTTTCAGCCAATTTTCTTGCTTCAGTAGACCAAACTCACAGCTATTTCTTTAGAACTCCATTCTTCCTGTCAAATGAGTACAAGAAACCACCCATTTACCGATTTCAACTACCCAATAAAGTGGTCAGAAATTGGCAATACGGCCATTTCACGCAAATTAAAAAAGATGCCAGTTTCAAAATAGGGTCCAGAACAATTAATGCAGACATTCTTGGCACTAAAATAACATATCCTCTGTTCATTAGTCATGCCTCCAGGCCCCATCTTATATTACTCTTGCTTTCTATTTTGATTTTTTATTCACACAAAAAAATAGAGGATTTACTGTTATGCAGACTACTGCTTTATTTTAAAAATGGTATAAATAATATCAGTGCACTAGTGAAAGAATATTAGACTCCCCAGTTGACATGTATTGGACGTGTGGTGTGATTTGCTTACTCTTGAACATTGGTAAAAATCAAACATTTCTGCTACTTTGAGCTCAATTTCAAGGTTGTTTTCATCGTGAAACTAATCAAAATCATCTCTATGTCTGTAATATGTTTTCCATTCTATCAAATGAAACTAAGAAAACGAGAATACAACCATAAATACTATATGAAAAATACACCCCAAAGTCGGCATTTTAATCCAAAAACACGGTCAGTTTTTTTTTTCATTATGCACTGCGTGCTGCAGGAATTTCTTTATACAGTGCACACTGACCACACAGACCCATTCTCTCACATGTTGGCCTACCAGCTTTCTCCTGCTTGATTTGAAGCCACTAGAATGATTGAGTATATATACGTCTGAAACGTTGGCTCGTAAGACGTATATGTATATACGGTCAAAACAGTCAAAGGGTTAACAAAGAATAGCTTCAGTTGTATTCTCCATTCATTTTGGAATAGACATCTAGAGAATAGGTGATGGTGAAAGTATTTCCTTCATTGATCCATCTTATTTTGGTGAGAAAAGATCAGTACGATTAAAAATAATTGTTAGGGTTCATGTCAAATGGGATTTTGGTCCAATGAAAAACAAAATTCACAGGTGATTGCAAAATTCAGGTAAGCTTGGTAAAGTATTGGTATTCATAACGAAAGGATTTCTTAAATGGTTAAAGTGGTAGTGTTTCCAGGGTGACAGAGGTGACTAACATAAGCTTTGATCTCTGATTAAAAGTATGGTGATAGTTTATCACATGAATGGTACAAGAAAGTTTTGCATCTGCCACCTTGCTTAGAATACAAGTAAACATGACAAGATCCTTTAGAAGACGGGTATATTTTTTTGCTATTCATTGTTTTTCAATCATAATATTTAGATTTCAGAGTAACTTATGCTATTACTTTGCAGGGGGTGTTTTTTGACTTCATCCTTGATGGCTACTCTCTCCCTGAGTTTGACTATTCCCCTTACAATGTTTGTGGACATCTGGCTCAAAGGCGTTAAGTACTCGCTGCTCATTTATGTAGGTTCAGTACCCATGATGGTATCCTTTATTGCAGTAACACTTCTCACACATTATGAAAATTGGGACCCACTGATGGATGGAATGAAATGCCTTCATAGAAAGTGTTGGAGAAGAAGCCATATGTATAGGTAAATATCCCTGTGCAGTTTTAGCTATTAATGGTTTTTGCATGTTGCGTGTTTGAATTGAAATAGATGAATGGGATACAATATAATTACTGTATTTTCCGGCATATAAGGTACACTTTTTTTTGTCTCCTGCGAAAGGTCTTGGAAAATCAGCCTGTGTCTTATGTGCTCAAGGGTAGGCTTTGGGTTATGCTTGAGCAGTTTGCTAACATTACGTTACAATTGCTTGGAAACTTCGTCTTATATATCTCGTGTGATTGTGTGCTTTATGTGCCAAAAGTACGGTGTAACACTAGCCAACAATATTGAAGTTTTTATTCAGTTCAGAAAACAAATTGTCTGTTTTAAGCTAGCTTTGATGTGCTGATCATGAGTCTTAGTTTGTTTAGTTTCCATCACATAAGATTTTTTGAAGTCTTATGATCAATATTTTGGCTATTTTAGGTTGAAGAACCATGTGAAATATGTTAACTAACATTCTTGTGTATAATGTTATGCATAGATATTAAGTGTGGTTCATATACTAACAAAAGCTAATCTTTCTCAGTGCCATACAGTCATACAAACATATTTACATCACAGTTTTCTGGCTTTTTTACTTGTGTTCAGTATGGCTTTCCTGCACCAGTGTCCAGCAACAGTTGACCATCAAACTGATCGTTAGGTTTCCCTGATGTCTCTTCTCCATGATGATTATGTCTTGGTGAAATCATTCAGTGTGGGGTTTTATTTCACAGAAACTGTATGTGTTGGAGCAAAACTAAGTTCAGATTTCAATTCAGCATATCAAGATTAGTTAGAAGTGCATATTTTTAAACATATACTGAAACTTTTGTTGGCCATTGTAATCAGGTTATGGATGTTGGGATGGAATTTTACAGACAACGAGTCCTTGGATGTTTATTTGTTTAATATATTGGTTACATGATAGCAAAAGGGGTTTGGGATATTGGCTGTTTTGAGTGACATCTGAACTGTCATATCTGGGTGCCTCAGCAAAGACAGTGATTATGTGTGAATGATGGTGAAAGTGTTGAATAATGGTGAAAGTGTCTCTTTCTTTTTTGAGTCACCCTGCCTCAGTGTGAGACAGCTGACATGTTGAAAAAAAAAAATGTGGGTTACAAATACAGCAGACTTCTTCATCCAAAAGGTTGGCACTAAGGGAATTTCCGATGAAATGAATTGAATAATGATTGTTGCTTAGAACATGTGTAGAATAGGTCCTCAAATCATCCATTACTCTTAACTATAACATAATGTATGTAGAAAAATCTAAGACAAGGTGTCTGACTAACTGGTGGCTTGTAAGGAACCAGGTCAAGTGAATTGCACATAAGTTTACTGCAGCACCAGAAATCTGATGGGACTATAGAGAAAATATGTATGCCATTTCTTGATGATCAGTGTATTAGGTGTTTTTGTTTAACAAGTTTTTGCTTAAATGAGGTCCTATCATAGACATCAAGATTTTGGCAGTAGCTAGGGGTAATGTTTACTGTCATACTGCCACAATAGTAATTTAGTTAATGATTTTTTATAAAGCAGGACTTGTTTTACACATTAAGAAAATAAATATTAGGAGGGTCATAGATTTTTTTTTTTTTTTTTGAAAATTGTAAATATTAATTAAGAGAAGGATTTCATCTGTACATGTATAGTGAATGTCTGCATGTGTAGTGACAAATACTTATTGGTAATCACTTAATGACAAAAATGCCTAGTTGAACATACTATAGTTAATTGATGGTAGTGTGATTTTTCATTATATTGCTTGCAGTAGTTCCAATTGTTAGCTTTATTTCTTTACACAGATAACCTGTTAATAAGAAAATGAAATTTATGATGACATTTCAGTCTAACTTGGACCAATAAGATTCATTCTCCTATATTCGGGTTATTTGTGTATTATACCAGTCACGTTATTGTGCCTTTTCATTCTCTGTTTCTTTATTCATTTTCAGTTTGGTCGATACAGAAGGATTGGAAAGAGAAAGTTTGATAGTGAACAGTGATGATATGGATGAAGGTGAAGATGAGGAAGATGAGGAGGAGGAATTGGACACAACACTCATCAATAATTCCATTACTGTTCATAATACTGCCACAGTCCACATTAGCAACTCTCCCATCATCAATAACACTGCCATTCCAACCTCCACAAACCATATTATCACCAATCATGTCTAATATTACTGTACAAACCTAACTTATTTATTACTCTTTAAATGCTTGAGTGTAAGATATCTTGAGTCCAAATAAATTTCTTAGTTTTTATCCTGCACTTAATATAAAAGTTGCCTGAACTATTTTTTTAAGGTATAATTATATCATGTATTTGGCAGTGGTGCTTTAAGTTATGAAGATCATAGAGCAATGAATAATCTTCAGACTCATATTTCATAACTAGGAAATAATCCTGGTTCCAGTGAAGATTCCATTCAGAATGAGAGAGTAAAGAGCAAGCAAATTGCTCTCCATCAGTAACTGATAATTATATAAATTGCAGATAGCATGTAAACTACTTTCTATAATCTTTGGTCAGAACTAGCTTTTTGCTATCATAAATTTTGAGAAGCGTGCAGAGACATCACAATTAAGACGACTTTTTCAGCTGCCGCATCCCCACTCTAGCAAACTAATTTTTTTAGAAGAGTTATCTGACATACTCTCATAACAGGATACCTGATGAATAGTTCTTCTGTAACGTAAAATAAGTAATCATAATTTTTTTTCATAAATGGTATATATGAGGATATTTTACGATATATATTTGTTTATTTATGTCGTACACATTTTCTTTTATCTTAGGAGAGGAAACCTGTGGTGACATTGTGGTCCATCCTGTACCATTGTTAAGTCACAACTGAATGAGGAAAAACAGTGAACCAGAAGACAGATTGGAAAAGGGAGGGAAGAACGTAGTGGAAGTAATAGAAGTAGTAGTAGTAGTAGTATGTAGTATAGCAGTATATTATTTCTGGTGTAATGATCAGTAAATTTTGCAGCTCCTATTAACAAAACCTAAATATTGCACTTTTTAAACTTAGGGTATGTAGGTTACATACTCTAACCAGCAAGGTGTAGGAGGTGTCGGAGAGAGGAAGATGTTCCAGTAAAAGTAGGCCTAGATAGGGATGTGTGATGCCACCATTTATAGATGGGGTTATAAAAGAAGAGAATGTTATGGTGTTAGGGAGAGGTGTGTGATTAAAAAACAGTGAATCTAGTACTGAGTGTAAGTTGTCACAGTTACTTTTGGCCAATGACATGGTTCTTTTAGGAGATTTGTAAGAGAAGCTGCAAAGCGAATTTGGAATGGTATGTAAAAGAAGGAAATTAAAAGTAAACACGGGAAAGAGCAAGATGATGAAAGTATCAAAAAATATATACAGAGAGAGATTGGATATTAAATTGGAGGGAGGAAGTAAATTTTTTTTTTTTCAACAAGTTGGCCATCTCCCACCGAGGCAGGGTAAATGTGTTCAGATATTTGGGAGTGGACCTGTCAGCAGATGGTTCTATGTGAGATGAGATGAACAATAAAATTGATAAAGGAAAAAATATGGGTGGTGCATTGAGGCATCTTTGGAGACTAAAGAACTTGATCCATGGAAACAAAATGGGAAGGCACTAGAGTATAGTGGAACAAATGCTGTTATATGTGTGTGAAGTATGGATTTTGAATGTTGTAGTGAGGAGGCTGGAGGTAATAGAGATGTGTTTGAGTTCAGCATGTGCTGTAAATGTTATGCAGACAATTTGGAGATTGGGAGGAGGAATGGATTTGCCAAAATTATTATTCAGAGGGGTTGGACTTCTGGAGCAAAATTGGATGACTAGAAGGGTGTATATATCTGGGATGAAGGGAGGAATGGTAGGGGTCATCCAGGGAAAGGTTGGAGGGAGGAGGGGGTAAAGGAGATTTTGAGTGTTAGGGGCTTGGACATCCAACAGGTTTGTGTGACCATGTTAGATAGGAATGAATGGAGGCAAGTGGTTTTCATGATTTGATGAGCTGTTGGAGTGTGAGCCAAGTAATATTTATGAAGGGATTTAGGGAAACTGATTAGCTGGTCTTGGAGTTGGGAAGTGCAGTGCCTGCACTCTGAATCGGGTGGGCATGCTGCAGCTTGGAGGTTATCTGACCTGTGATGTTGGTGCCCTTCTGGCAAGACAGTAATTGAATAAGTGAAGTGAAAGTGTTTTCTTATTTGTCAGGTCACCCTACTTCAGCAGGAGACAGCTGAAAATTTGGACATATGTGCAAACCTCTGGGTATCTTTATTGTAGACATTTTGCCATCCAGTGGTTTTATCAATAAAGATTCTAGGACATAATTTGAAGACAGTAGAACTATATACAAAAGATGAGGTAATCAGTCCCTCAGCCTTGGATTTGGTGTGAAGATCACTGTAACCATGTAGATGCACTGAACCAAAGTAGTCATACAGAACTGTGGGAATGGGAGATAATCAGGAATGATTTAATGAATGGGAGATAATCAGGAATGATTTAATGAATATGGGATAATCAGGAATGATTTATTGAATTGGAGATAATCAGGATTTATTCACTGAATGTGAGATAATTAGGATTGATTTGATGAATGGGAGATAATCTGCATTGATTCAAGAATGCAAGGGGTAGCTTTAATACTTGGGTCAAGTGGCTTTTTGCCAACATCAATGCACATTCTCTCCTTCCCTTGAAGAAACGCACTTCCAGCAGTAACTTCTGCATGCCAAAGATGCTGTGGATTTTTCACTGCTTCCAGTAGAAATGCCAAAAAATTCCAGGCCCTACCACTTTTTGTCTAAATTCCAATGTTTTTTCTGCAGCAAATGTTGCTGATATGGAATTGTTCCATATCAAGAGAAATCATAGTTACTTGCAACCAAGTTTGGGTTGTATGGTAAATGATTGAATTGTGTACTCAGGTGGGACATTGTAGGAATAAGAACCAAAATACTTTGCTTATCAAGCTGTTTTTACTGCATAGATGTTACAAGTATGAAAATTGCAAGATTTAACAATTTGTTGGGCACATTAGAATGCTAAATCTTGCAACTTTCATATTTGTAATATCTTTGCAGTTAGAAAATATCTTGATAAGCAGATGTTTTGGTCCTTATCTATGCCTTTGTTTTATCTTGAATTGATTTTTGCAACTGTTTGTAAATTTGCCTGAGCACATGCTAAAAAAAAAAAAATTCAGTCTGCATTGAATTGCGCAGCTAGACTTACTTTTTCTCCCAACTAAGATTCACACTGGTCCCTACTGATATGAGTTGCATTTATGTCTTACGCTAGTTTCTTGAACTAGAGTTAGGGTACAGGAGGGCCCTGTTTGTATGACTTTTAGGTTTTGACCCTGTACGGAAAGTGAAAATTGCTGGCAATACGAAAAGAGTGGTTTTTCATTATCAGATGCATCTAAAACGTCTGATAGCATGATTACACTCTCATGTATCAGTACAGCTAGGCATAAAACAGTAAAATAAATACATAGTACATATCATGTATCAGTACAGCTAGGCATAAAACAGTAAAATAAATACATAGTACGTACATACAATCCTTACTTTAAAATGTGGTGCTGCTCGCCCTTCCTTTACACATCTGTTGTATGGAAGCTGGGAAAAAGTGGTAAAAGCACCTAACATAATGAACAATGGTTCAGTTGAAAGTCAATGAAAATGTGAAACACCAAAAAGAGGTACTGTATATGTGGGACCCTCCTGTACACACTTTTTATACATGGGAAGCACTGAACCAAAGTAGTCATACAGAACCGTGGGAATGGGAGATAATCAGGAATGATTTAACTCTTTCAGGGTTTCAGCTGTACTAGTACGGCTTACGCACCAGGGTTTTTGACGTACTAGTACGCCTAAATTCTAGCACCCTCATCTAGTGAGAGAAAGCTGGTAGGCCTACATATGAAAGAATGGGTCTATGTGGTCAGTGTGTGCGGTATAAAAAAATCCTGCAGCACACAGTGCTTAATGAGGAAAAAAAAAACTTTGACCATGTTTTTGGATTAAAACAGCGACTTTGCACTGTGTTTTCATATGGTATTTATTGTTGTATTCTAGTTTTCCTGGTCTCATTTTATAGAATGGAAGACATATTACAGAAATTGAGATGATTTTGACTGGTTTTACAAAGAAAACTACCTTGAAATTGTGCTCAAAGTAGCAGAAATGTTTGATTTTTACCAAAGTTCAAAGGTAAACAAATCATGCTATGTGTAAAATACACGTCAACTGGTGAGTCTAATATTCTTTCACAAGTGCACTGATAATATTTATACCATTTCTACACCAATGCAGTAGTCCTGCATAACAGTAAATCTTCTATTATTTTGTGAGAATAAAAATTCAAAGTGGAAAGCAAAAGAATGTAATAGGGGCATGGGGACGTGACTAATGAACAGAGGAAATATTATTTTAGTACCAGGAATGTCTTTCTTGTTTATTCTGGACCCTATTCGGAAATTGGCATCCTTTGAAATTTGTGTGAAATTGGCAAAATTGCTAAATTCTGACCACTGTATTGGATAGTTGAAATCGGTAAATGGATGGTTTTTTGTACTCATTCGATAGAAAAAATGGAGTTCTAGCGAAATAGTTATGATTTTTTCGACAAGTACACTGGAATTGGCCGAAAATAGGACTCAAAGTGGGCAAAAATTGCCGATGCGTAAACATCGTCAAGACCACTAACTTTGCGAGAGCATAATTCCATAAGTTTTCCATCAAATTTCATACTTTTGGTGTCATTATGATCGGGAAAAGATTCTCTGTCTTTTCATAAGATTTTTTTTTTTTTTTTTTTTTTTTTTTTTTTTGAAATTTGGCCGACCCTGAGAGGGCCTGTCGACCCTGAAAGGGTTAATGAATGGGAGATAATCAGGAATGATTTAATGAATGGGAGATAATCAGGATTTATTCACTGAATGTAAAATAATTAGGATTGATTTGATGAATGGGAGATAATCTGCATTGATTCAAGAATCCAAGGGGTAGCTTTAATACTTTGGATCAAGTGACTTTTTGCCAACATCAAGGCACATTCTCCCCTTCCCTTGAAGAAATGTACTTCCAACGGTAGCTTTTGCATGCCAAAGATGCTGTGGATTTTTCACTGCTTCCAGCAGAAATGCCAAAAAATTCCAGGCCCTACCACTTTTTGTCTAAATTCCAATGCTTTTTCTGCAGCAGATGTTGCATTAAGACTAGTTATGTCTGTTATTTATCCAGAATTATAACCATCATCAGTCTATTAAATGCCATATTTAAACTTTGTTATTCATTCTATCACTAAAAGTAATGGGGATTCTCTTTAACACAGTCATGCTTTGCTTAAGCAATAAAGCCTTTCAGTGATTAAAAATAATACAGCCTCTCCTCACTTAGTGACATACTTGTTTATCAATGACTTGGACTTATGATAGGCTCTCTGACCAGTATGCATAATTAAATAATGTATATTACAATATACAGCACACTACTGTATAAACGTTTAAAAATATGCCAGAAGTGTTATAAATGGTGCAAAGGTGACATTAAAACAGTATCAAAGATAGTTGACACAAACCCATTACCATTATAGTATGCTCCTCACTTACTGATGAATTCATTTACTGATGTGGTCTTATGAACGGAACTCCATCATTAAGTGAGGAGAGGCTGTATAACTCTTTTAGAATTGGTAATACAGAATTAAATTAAACATCTTTTATAAGTACAAGTATTTTTTGCTTAAAGAAGTTTTGTTTCAGCACAAGGTGAATTTTTGTACAGCAAGACATTTTTATTTTAAACAGCTGCTTCTTACCAATATAGTGACCCTGAAAAGAATATTAATGATTATTTGTTTGCTAGGTGTCTTCTCCTAGAAGTGCACAAACATCACAATATAAATTAACCACGGAACTACAACATTCCCTACTAGTCCTTCAGAATGCAGGTATTTTACTTTCTATCTCCACAACTTGATATCAGGAAACTGGGTTCACTGTTATTGTCCGGTAGCATGTTAAATTGTAAAAGCGACTTGTCTCTACTCTGAACTAACATGTCCATACATTTCTGCTGGATATCAAAGATCCTACCTCTTGAAACTTCATCCATTTCTTTCTTATAACCCTTCCTGGGTTGCCCAATACAACTCCTTTTATTCATCATGGATTTATACTCTCTCTCAGTTAACCATTCTTGCTCTGTCTTGTCAAAGTTACCAAACAATTTCAACATGATATTTTCTGCTCTCAATTTTATACCTCCCATACCACTACCTTGCCATTTAATGTCTTCATTCCTTATTCTTTACATAATATTCATATCACACATTAATCACAAAAATGGCATCAACACCATCTCTATCTTCCTTGCTGCAACATTGAAAAACCATGCCTCACATCCAAACAAATGTTTTGGCTCCTGTATAGGGGATTCTGGTGCATTTCCCCTCTTATTGCATCCATTAATAAATTTTTTCCCACAGATTCTCAAAATCATTTTGTTTTATATTCTTTAATTATATACTAACCTAACAACAGTCAGTTTTAAAATGAGTACTGCCTGTCTGAAGGTTCAGACAGGCAAAATTTTTTAACACCATAACATTTTCCATTACAGTTTCACTCCACTATTCAGAATATATCAAGACCAGGTGCTTTTTCTTAATATTGAACTGTTGGTAATAAGCACTGTACAGGTGCGGTATTAAATAGTATATTTACCACTCATGTTCAGATAAATCAGTTTTATTATCATTCATTGTTTTGATTTAAGTATTATAGGTGACTTATGTATCATCTGAGGTAGTAGTAGTTGCTACTAAAACTAAGTATAATTACAGTGCACTTATTGCAAAAATGGGCATCAGAGCTCTAAATGGTACAGGAAGTGGTTGATAACCTTGCCTTCAGATAATCATATCTACCTTACTATTTGAATGAATGCAATATTTGTTTAATGTTAAACTAAAGTCATCAGGTCTACCGTATTCATCGTGAACTTGCACATTAAAGCAGGGGGTGAATTATATTTGGAATACATGCCTTCCTGTGCTCCACCAGTTAACCTCTGTTCTTCAAGCATAAGACAGTGCTGTAATTGACACTCATTCACTTTGTCACTCATTGCTTTCTATGCTTTGTGCTGTTAACGTGTTTTACACCTTTATATTTCTTATCATAATCACTAGGCTACTGCACAGGTAGTGCTAGTAGCCTAGTTTGTAGAGACTTACTAATTCATGTGTTTTCGCTGAAGGACTTTTCATAAATAGCCTCGATTATTGGCATTTTTATTTTTGTATTGCACTTGACTTGGCTTTCCAACATACAAATCTCTCTCTTTTTCTTTTCCCCCAATCATTCTCTTTATGAACATTAATATTAACCTTATGAGATAGATATTTAAAGAAATATGACCTCTGAAACTCAAAATGAATCCAAATTTGAAATAATATTTATCATAGGACATAGTTTTGTATTTGTGGATTCTAATGTTACAGCACCTCTGGGAATATAACCCCCATGAATTTGGGTGTTTGACTGTACATTCTTTTTTAACTGCTTTGATGCAGGTCTTGTAGATAAATATTATCTGGGGAAGAAATTACTGAAACTGCATAACTATTATTAACCCGTAAATGGTCCAAACGTATATATGCGTTTTTTCAACATTTGAAAGTATGTAGATCTTCTTTCTGTTTTTTTTACATTTGAAAATGTGTAAAAAAACTTTGATCTACTTTTTTTTTTGTTACATTTGAAAATATGTAAAAAAAAAACGTAGATCTACTTTTGTAGCACTACACATGTGAACATAGATCTGCTTGGACTGTTTACAGGTTAAGTTAAGTAAGGAATAATTCTGTTTTTAATATACTGTATTTACAGGTATAGTCATGTTGTAGAATTAGGTCTGAAGTGACATTGCCATAAAAATTTGGAATTCAATGTGATATAGAATAAAAGTTTGCCTGTCTGCTATTGGAAGGAAGGGGAAATAAACTGGGACAAGTGGGCAGAAGCAAAACTAGTGAGTGTTGCATTGCATCTTATGTTAAAGCAATATGGGAGATGCGTATTGACACAAGTGAGTATGGAATAGTGGAGCTTATATTACACGTTTAGGATTATTTTGCATTAGAATTAGAATTAGTCACATTGCTTAATTTTTTTTTCTGAAAACTGGAAAGCATTGTGAAGATAAACCCTCTCTGCATAAGTATAATGTTAGACCAGTCAGGGAATTAAGTAATGGAATTATAATCATGGCCAAAATTTAGTAAATACTGCACTTGCAGTATTGGATTACTATACATATTTGCAGTTGCAATCAAGAAATTTATTATTTTTTTTAAATGATAAAATAATAGAAAATACTGTAGTATGGCATGTGAATTTGTTTGGTATACAGAAGGTTATCTTTACCATTGTCGATAAGCTGGTTTAAGAATGTTTACATTATTGTATTGTGCGTAAATGCAGCAGCGAGGAGACGGTTGGAGGCAGTGGAGATGTCCTGTCTAAGGGCAATGTGTGGTGTAAATATTATGCAGAAAATTCGGAGTGTGGAAATTAGGAGAAGGTGTGGAGTTAATAAAAGCATTAGTCAGAGGGCAGAAGAGGGGTTGTTGAGGTGGTTTGGTCATTTAGAGAGAATGGATCAAAGTAGAATGACATGGAAAGCATATAAATCTATAGGGGAAGGAAGGAGGGGTAGGGGTCATCCTTGAAAGGGTTGGAAAGAGGGGGTAAAGGAGGTTTTGTGGGCTAGGGGCTTGGACTTCCAGCAAGCGTGCGTGAGCGTGTTAGATAGGAGTGAATGGAGGCGAATGATACTTGGGACCTGACGATCTGTTGGAGTGTGAGCAGGGTAATATTTAGTGAAGGGATTCAGGGAAACCGGTTATGTTCATATAGTCGGACTTGAGTCCTGGAAATGGGAAGTACAATGCCTGCACTTTAAAGGAGGGGTTTGGGATATTGGCAGTTTGGAGGGATATGTTGTGTATCTTTATATGTATATGCTTCTAAGCTGTTGTATTCTGAGCACCTCTGCAAAAGCAGTGATAATGTGTGAGTGTGGTGAAAGTGTTGAATGATGATGAAAGTATTTTCTTTTTGGGGATTTTCTTTCTTTTTTGGGTCACCCTGCCTCGGTGGGAGACGGCCGACTTGTTGAAAAAAAAACAAAAAAACTTAGTGATATTGTGCACTAAACTTCTAGCTTATTGTGCATTAAGCATTGCAGGATATAACACTGACATCACCAGTCAGTGCATTTATATACAAAAAATGCCTTCATGGAAGATGATTAAGAAGTCCCTTGTTAAGTGTTTCTCAAGCCTGTCATCATACAGTCTTCTATCATTCTGGTAATTTTGTATATACCATACTTCCCAACACATTACTCACAAATTTTAAAGCGGACATTGTTGAGAGAAAATATATTTATTTGGATGAAAACACAAGTGGGATAGTATTATACCAGTTTCATTGTAAAACTTGTAATGCTGGAAAAGCTCTCTTGCTGAAATTGGTGAAACTAAGTTTTTTTTTTGAACTATAAATCACATCACAGCTTTTTGGTTAGTTATCAAGTAACATCTTTGTTTTTGTTAATGTTTTGTATTATACAGTTTTGCTGAATATTGTGTTGTTTTATGCAAATGGGACAGTTATACAGTATAATAAAATACTTCATGTTAATTTGCTAGTTCTTTCCACATGTGGAGTTGTGTTCCTTAATTATGGAGAACCTTCACAGAATACTTTTTAAGTACCTTTTCCAATTATTTCTGGTTTTCTGCAATGCCGGAAAGTTTTTCTGCTGTGAATTCTTATTTTAGATTAATTTTAATTTTAACAATAACAGTTTGGCTTTGTGAATATGAAAGTGACTTTACCCACGTGCATACTTGCAAAAAATGTGTGCCAGGGAAACCCTGGTACACACAGTTATTCAGTTTCTAGACACACCGTTGCAGCTCTCAATCATAGGTAGTGCTGGACCTTGTGTTTGTTGGGGGTTGTTCAGGTTGGAACTTAAAGGGTGCCTTGTCTTCAGGGCATGATTACCTTCTTCAGGTGGGTGCAGTGAATGTGCTGGTTATCTGTCAGTTATATCTGGTGCTCATGAGGGCAATGTAGATGGTCAATCTACTCTGATGGGCTAACTACTCTATTCTTTTTAAGTATTAGGAGGGTCCTATATGCTCTATGGGAGGCTGAGTGACATTATTGCATGACATTATACCTAGGGCATCTGAGCTTGGCATAGCTAGCCTTTAATCATTAACAGGTATACTCACTCCCTTATCCATGCCTGGTCAGCTTCAGTGCAACAGTAGGCACTTTCTTCTGTTACATATTATGAGCATCATGTCTCCATGTCTCAAGGTTGGATCGATTTCTGTCTGGCATTGATTAGTCATCCATGTTGGGTGAGTATGTGTGTGCAATTATTTGATGTACTTGCCTGCTTTTTATTCTGGTGATTACATATTTGATATTACCTTTTCATAGTCATAGGAGTAGAACCTATCCTGCAGTGTCCTGTATTTAGTGTATCATAAAGTTTAGTTTCTAGTGATTATAACACCTACTACCTCCTCTTTTAAGCTATTCCAATGTTCTACCATTGTATTCAATTGTTCTTTCTTGGCTTATTGTTATCACCTCTTGTTCTACCAGTTGGTGGGAGTTAGGATGTCTTCCTTATCAATTGTTTCATAACTTGCTTATGTATGTATGCAGTGGCAGAGAGTTGGTTTTGCAGGATGCCATTACTTTTGGCTTACTGCTCAGCTGATGCAGTTCTTGTCCAGGACTGTTTACAGAGATCCTCCTATGCATTATTTCCAGCACAGTCTTTGTGTCTAAAGGAGCTGTGTTTCTGGGTAATGGTGGTACAATTTCAAGTGGGCTCCTGAAGGTTTCACAGCAGAAAACTACATTTTGAACCTGGAAAGATGCTTTTCTGTGTTTGGAGTCCTTGGTGGCCCATAGGTCTGCCATTTTCACACCTGTGGTGTTCTGGTTAATAATCAGAGCTGGGTGAATGCAAATGCCTCAACTGGTGCCTATTAACTGAAACAGCAATAATGGTGCATCAGTGGGCAAATGGAGGTGGAGGCTGAATGAGGCATAATAGCTTGCCTGAGATCATTCTGGGGTAAGAGATGTCAGTGGTAGGAAAAAATAGGTTTGATGTATTGCAGGTGGGCCTCTGAGTGGCTCGGGATATACGAAGGTCTTTTAAGGTTTAGAACACAGTTTTATTTAATTTCATTATGTTTTGGGCATGCAACACTCCAAAAGACATCGGCATTCACATCTTTTACACTGCCATTTGTAAATACAGTACATTAAAGAGTTATGGTGACATTACACATCTGTGGCACACTTACTGGAGAACACTTTCTCTTCTACATGCTCTAACTTGAGAATAATTTCTCATAAAAGCCTTTTACAACACAGTAAACCCTTGATTTAATGGACCTCAATTTTACAGACTTCAGAAGTACTGGACAAAATATGCTGGGTCACTTGATTTGAAAACACCAAAAAATCTATTGGTTACAGAATTGTCCATTATTGTTACAATTACTGCAAAATAACCTTATATCTATCCACCACAATCACTATTATCAGTCACCTGCTCTGCCCTATTAGTCTATTAAGACGAAAGGTTTGGTGTATTTATTGTTACAATATATCTTCTCTATAAATGTTTTTTCCACACTATTATTTTACAGCTTGTATAGGAAGGCCCCTCTTGTATAGCTCTTAGGTTTCTGTTCCTGTGCGATCAGTGAAAATCACTGGCGGATGGAAAAGAGTATTTTATTTAGTATCAAATGCATGATAACATGTTTACATTATCATATATTAGGTGCTCAATACAGGTAGACATAAAAACAGATAAAACAGTAAAATAAATACACAGTGTATATATAATACTTACCTTAACCCTTAAACTGTCCAAACGTAGATCTACATTTGCACGTGTAGCGCTCCGAACATAGATCTACTTTTTTTTACATAAGAAACAATGTAAAATCAAATGTAGATCTACGTTTGGAGCGCTACGTGTGCGAACGTTGATCTACGTTTGGACAGTTTAAGGGTTAAAATATGGCGCTGGTCGCCCATCCCTTATGCAACTGTTGTATGAAAACAGTGGAAAAGAGGTAAAAGCACCGAACATAATAAACAGTGGCTCATTTGAAAGCCACTGAAAATATGGAACACCGAAAAAAGGGTACCGAATACGTAAGGCCCTCCTATATATGGAAGGACCCAAAAAAATATTATCAATCTTTTCCTTTGGTATAGGAATCACTTACTTCTTTGGTAATCACCCAAGAGACTTGCTGTGCATTAGGTCTTGCCGGACATTATTACTTTTTTCTTTGGTGTTCACTGTTTACGGTAGACTTATGAATGGCTTATTTATATTAGCTTCTAAATTTTTATTATGTCTCATCTCTGTAACAAATTTAAGTTAAATGAGAAAGACCATTGTTCTGAGGCAAATGTGACTGTCTGTTATTATAAAATTTTATTTAAAGGCACAAAATTAGCTTATATTTGAAAAAATGCTGAAGTGTGCTGTTTTAATGGCCTATGCATTTTAACAAGTTTTATATTCCATTATTTCATCATTTATGAGTAAATGATAAAAGTTCTTAAATAAAAAACTGCACTCTTCTGATTGACTGCACTTGCATAAAGTAGATTCTAAGCACAAAGGAAATAATAAAAATGAAACACAACCCTCATAATATTTATACTTTAATGCCAGATATAATATATATTTTTTGTTAGTATTTATTGTATAGTATTTGTTCTTTATGTAGCATTTTTATTAAGCTGTACATATTACTTTTTATGTTGTCATATATTTTCTTAATTAAATGCTGAAATACAGTATATTTACATACTTTATATGTATTATGACATATATATGTGGGATAATGTGTAATAATTTAATATTATAAATATAATATTGACAGTACAGTATTTTTTAGTGTGTGATTTGACTAATGTACAAGTTGTTATGTTGTAGAGATGCATATATTTTTTTTTGTCTTGGCACCATTGTACAGTCTGAAGGATGACACACGTCTGATATATTTCCAGTTACATAAATACAATGAAAAGTTATAAACTAAAATTTTGTCTTGTTTCACTAATCATCAAGTTTCATCAACTATGATGCAACATTTGTTTCAATGTATTGATTGTTATAACAATATTTGTGATGTGATTAACTGCCTTAATTTTAGAAAATGATGTTTAGGAACTGCTGAATTCTGAGACTGTGTGAAATTTAAGTGTGAGATGATACCTATAATTAGATCTGTTGCATTGTGTGATGTAAAACAGTATTGCCTTCACTCATAACTTCAGTATATTCATAAGCTGAGATTAATGTACTGTACTTGGTACACATAACTTAAGAATTTCTTTTTTTTTTTTTATGTATGCCACAATGAAATATAGTTCATGGCAATATCAAACTGATGTCCATATCATGTCATATTCCCTAATTTTACATGTAAGGAGGTAATTATTTTGAGTTATAGGTTAAAATTTCATCATAAAATGCTGATACCTTGAGATATTTTAGACATCTCTTATAATTGAATGTTTTTGCTGTTTTGAAAATTTGCTAGGTAATATACCTAATTCCCACAATAGCTTAGCATTTTTTTTTTTTTTTGTGAATTTTGTAATAAAGATTATTTAGAGCAAAAAATGCAGTAGTTAATTGAAATCATAACATAAATACTCTTGAGCTTATGCTTATTTCCAGTAAAAGAAAAGGACAAATTCATGCTTTTAAATGGTAGGATCGAGTTGCTTGAGTTATTGAAATTATGATCACAAATACCCAAAAATATAAAATAACATACCAAGTGCCAAATGATTTATGTAATACACTAAATAAAGTATTCAACTAAGGGACAAGTGCTTCAGAGTTTCTGGGAAAGCTTTCAACAATATTTTTATTGTATATTCAGTATTTTGATTCTCTCAAGACTGTGGCTAACAGTATACAGTGGACCCTCGACCAACGATATTAATCCATTCCTGAGAGCTCATCGTTAGTCAAAATTATAGTTAGTAGTTAATTTTCCCCAAAAGAAATAATGGAAATCAAATTAATCCGTTCCTGACACCCCAAAGTATTGAAAAAAAAATTTTTTACCACATGAAATATTAATTTTAATACACACAAACTGAAAAAGACATGTACAATTACATAACACTTACCTTTATTGAAGATCTGGTGATGATTGATGGGATGGGAGGAGGGGAGAGTGTGGATGGTGTTAGTGTTTAGAAGGGGAATCCCCTTCCATTAGGACTTGAGGTGTCAAGTCCTTTTCCGGGGTTACTTCCCTTCTTTTTTTAATGCCACTAGGACCAGCTTGAGAGTCACTGGACCTCTGTTGCACAACATATCTGTCCATAGAGCTCTATACCTCCCGTTCCTTTAAGATTTGTCTAAAATGGGCCATAACATTGTCATTGTAATAGTCACCAGTATGGCTTGCAATAGCTGTGTTAGGGTGATTTTCATCCATAAAGGTTTGCAGTTCAACCCACTTTGCACACATTTCCTTAATCTTTGAAGTAGCCACAATGGATTCCACAACTGGCATAGGCATCTTAGGGTTAGCCCCAAATCCTTCAAAATCTTTCTTAATTTCCATACTAATTCTCACCCTTTTTATCACAGGTTGGCACTAGAAGCTTTCTTGGGGCCCATGGTGACTTATTTTGCAGGTGCAATCACTAAAAACGCTGTGATAATATGAAATGTTCCGATTGTATGTTTGGATGCGACCGCGGTGGCTGGCTTGTAAACACTGGCACCCACGGGACAAATGAGGCGTGTTCAGGCCACACGTGGACGCGTCTCGAATGGAACGAATCGCGTTGGTCGAGTGTTTTAGCGCTAGTCAAGGCAAAATTTTTGCGTTAAAATGTATCGCTAGTCGGATTTAACGTTATACGATGCCATCGTTGGTCGAGGGTCCACTGTATCCTTATTAATTGTATAACACGTGACATTTATGTGTTAAATTTTAATTACCAAAGGACACTACTGCATTATTGAAAGTTAAGGAATAGAATATCAGAAGCTTTAATGCAGTACTGTACTTAGATAAGAGCATTGCATAAAAAGATAACAATAGTGAGCCTTAAAACATTAATGTGAGGTTCCAGATAGTTTTTAGTCTATGTAAATTTAAGCTGTCATGTTAAATTGTCTTCAGTGCACAAATATTTCATAATTATAAATAACTTGTGAAAGTGAAGGTTATGAGACTAGTGTACTGGTTAGTTTTGCTTGTTCAAAGTTTACATAGGTTTTCTAAATTCAAGTAAGCTCATAAGATGAACCAAATAATGGATAATGTTAAGTACATATAATTTTGATTCACTCAGTAAACTGATTTAAATATGTGCATTATTTTTTAATTTTAATTAGAATTTAAATGCAGTATATTGTAAAATCTTATACAGTTAAGTTCAAATATTTTCAAATTATATAATTATTTTTATTTTCATTTTGTTCGACAAACTTTTGCAGATTTCAATTCATTTTTATTCTAAGTATGTTTACATACATAGTACATGAGAGAGTACTACATACACTTGACTATTAATGAAATTTTGGTCTGTTTTGTTAAATAGTTATGCAAGGATAGATAATGAGCAATTAAACTGCTTAATGCACATTTTTGAAAGTGGAAAATAAGTAAATTTTCAGAATTTTCATTATTTTATATTAGATACAGCACTCAGTCCTTGTGGGGTATGTTGTATAAACTTTGTCGACTTATAATATTCTTGAAAATGTGTGATCTTAAAACCCATGATATATACAAATATGACTTGAATTCCTCACTGTATCAAAGAAAATGGGTTGGAAACAATAATGTATTTGGAGTACATGCTACAGGGTATGTAGCACCCTGTATTGTATTTGGACTACATGATAGAGGGAATAAGTTACCTTGACTATATATGGACTACATATGAGAGGGAATGTATATGTTTGGGGACAGATACTGGGGCAGTGCACAATTTGTGATGACAGATTGAATTAAGATCAAGAAATTTGTTAATGTTCTGTGAAGGAGTGTTTGTGGCTTGCAGATATTTTCAAATTGAGACATTAATTCATATAAAAAATTAGCATCATATACTGTATTAATTAAAATTTGCATACCTGGTAACTTTAATTGCTAAATTCTAGGTTTGAAGCATTTTTGTGAATATAATAATTCTAAATAAAATACTGTACTGTACTGTATACTTAAATTAAGCTTGAACATAAATAAAAGTAAATTTAATTCTGAATATGAATTTTCCCTACTGTACATGTATGTGTGTTCTTTCTCTTTTTTTTTTTTTTTTTATTATTATTAATTATGTATGGTATTCTCCAAGGGGAATTGGAACAGAATTCTTCCTCCACAAGACATGCATGTCATAAGAAGTGACTAAAATGCCGGGAGCAAATTGCTAGTGACTCCTTCTCGTGTATGTTACTAAATTTAAAAATAGAAACTTTCCTTTTTTCTTTTTCGCGCCACCCTGCCTCTGTGGGATACGGCCAGTTTGTTGAAAGAAAGAAGAAGAAATATACAGTATAACATTTTGGAGGTACCAGAAAAAGTGCAAAAACACTTTGAGATGTTCAGAGTTGTTGATGAAAATAAGTTGAGTTCATGCTCGAGACTGGAGTAATATGAACCTATGGGTAGGGAAGAGCTAGAGTGCAAATATGGGTAAGGTGGCACAGGGTGAAAGTAGCTGGGGCCACTAGGATTGAGAATGAGATACTAAAAACAGATGGAAAGTTTATATGAGAAGGTCCTTCAAGGAAGGTGCCTTGATGCCAATGAACATAAGAAAGAAGGATCATTGCAGCAGACTTACTGGCCCATGATAGGTGGGTCCAAGTCACATCCACTTAAGAAGGAAAAAGCTCTTGGCCCAAGGAAATATAGCTAATTTCTTCGTTGGATCAAATATGATTGCCTCTAATTTTTCAAGTGCTGTGTGATCTCTATAAACATAGCACTCTTTTAAAGAATGTAATAATAATTTAAGATAAAAGGCCCCATTTGGGTATGTAGGAGGGAAATGGATTATTTTCCTGTAAAGGTATACTTGATGATTGTGAAGGGTTTTTATTTCAAGGGATTGAAGCTGTCCTCCTATTCCTCAGACTGAATTTGATTACCCTCCCCCTCACCCCCTCCCAACCTTCGCATTCCTCTTCAACCTCTACTCCTGTGCCCACCTCACCTCTATGACCTTTATGGGTTTAGTGCTTAGTTATGATTATAATAATGTGTCCACATCACAGCCTTTAAGATGTAAAGGATCTTCCATCAGAAGACGTGATTAGTCTTGACCTCACTGCTTCAGTTTATTGATCACTCACAAAATCCCCTTCTTGAAATCACCAGTGTCTTTCCTCTTACTACTCTATGCTGTGTATTTAGTGCTTAGTCTTCATTATTGTAATAATCTTAGCTGTGTAATCCCCATGGGTTTAGCACTCCCCATGATAATCTTTATACTCTATATGGGCCCTCCCATCAAGGAGGGAGGGATCAAGAGGCCTTCACAGCTTCTTGATCCAAGGAATTGGGCCTCTTTGCCTTCTTCCTTGGATCAAATCTAAATACTCCCTCTTCTCTTCTCTTCCCGGCCTCATTATTTGGGGACATTTACCTCTGTTAATTTTAACTCCTAAACAGGAAAAAGATCGTTGTCCCTTCCATTCCACTGGGACTAGGCTGGCCAGACCTCCTGCTTTAGGCAGGACAAGGTTTAGTGCTGCTTTTTAATTACTATAATTATTGTGGAAAATATTTTAATTTTCTGAAGCTATAGTGCCTAATAGGTGTTTAATGTGTCGATATGGGTCAAAAATGTATTTGAAAATAGGATAGAACCAAGAGTTCCCTTTGCACCTGCGCGAATGTGCGGGGGGACAGATCGACTCGGGGCATGAGGGAGGCGGGCGTGTTTTGAATGTAGTGAGGAGGCTGTGAAAACATGAGACCAGGAAATTGGCGTTTACGGCGGCCTAAGGATTAATATAGGCCTCACTTCATAATAGGAAGTGTCGTAACTGTTCCTGGTGGAGAGTGAGGAAATGTGATTTACGGGACCACCGTAATAAAGTGGTAAAATTAGTGAATAATGGTTCGACCAGGGGTGACTGGTGCGCGGCCATGGTGTGTGTCCAGGGGAAATACCCGTGAGTTAATCCTCACTCATCGGTCTCAGATCTTAATGGAGTGACCTCTAATGTGTATAATAATTATGAGACATTAAATCGTCTTGTGAATTGTAATGTAATCAGTGATAATAACACTAAGTTAAGAGAATATGTGAAGTGAAATGAGTCGCCGTTCTCAGAGTGAGCATCTGTTTATCTCGTGTTCCTGTCTCGAGGATAGTGAAGTTTTTATGGAGTCACGACTTCTAAACCGGGACAAACCAACGGATACCTCGTCCTGCTGGAATAAGAACCGTGTCGGTGTAGCAGGACATCGAAATGAGATGGCGAATGGAGGAAATAAGGAGCATCAATCACCCACAGTTAAGTAACCTTTCTAGTTATAGCAGACTGATACTGGCCAGTTAGGTATGTTGTAATTGGATGGGTTATGGGTGATCCAGCTACATCAAGTGACCACCAGAGAATATCTGGTAAGTGGTGAGATTATGTGATGGATATATCCATGTGTAACCTACCCCCCCCCCTTTATTCAGTTACACTAATATAATCTATACAGTCCACAATTAATTAGTAGCGCCGTACTTGCAGGTGCTACCCAATTTACACTGGTCTCGGATAGATATGGATAAGATTGTGAGGTCGAAGGAACCACCTGCCATGACCAGGGGTGGTTAAGTTTTCTCACATGTCTACACGGGGTGACTACGGTAAACAATATGGTTGTCTCCCAATGAGATTACTCGTATGCATGTAATGTTGAGGTACATACAGGTAACACCCTATAAAATTTTCCATAATTATTATTATAATCATGGGGAGTGCTAAACCTGTAGGGTTATACAGCGCATGTGGGGGGAGGGGGTGGAAGATATTCCAGCTCAATTTAGGGAACTGGGGCACAGATCCAATTCCCAAGATGAAGAGCCCCTCACCAGTGTCAAGGAACCTCCCTTAAAGGATTTAATTATAATAATTTAGGCAGGACAGTCCTACTTTTGAGCACTCTGTCCTTCGTCCTGCGCCATCTCAATCAGGACGTTAATTTGTCCCTTTTGGAGGCTTGTCTAAAAAGAATTACTGTATATAAATTACCTTACGTATACTAAAACAACGAGAACTGAAGTCCACAATAACCACTGATGTATTTTTTTTTTAAATTTTATGTAGCTGCTATTAGTAACACCGTTTGCAGTGTACATATATAAGACAGACGAGTCAGGCTATCAATTAAGTATACGTCGGAGTCTGAGATGGTCAGTCTGTCAAAGGCCGCAATGTGGAGTGGTTGACTATTAGAAAAAATACCACAAAATAGCATTCATCACCTTAATTGACAAATAAATAATTCTACTAAGCATATTTTGTATATTTTCTACAACTTTTATATATTTCAACTCATCATAAAACTTGTCTGATTTGGGTTAAATCTCCAGGCTTACCTGGAGTTTACCTGATGAGGGTTTCAGGGGTCAACACCCCCGCGGCTTGGTCTGAGACCAGGCCTCATGGTGGATCAGGGTCTGATCAATCATGTTGTTACTACTGGCCGCACGCAAGCTGGTGTACGAGCCACAGCCCGGTTGGTCAGGTACTGACTTTAGGTGCCTGTCCAGTGCCTTCTTAAAGACAGCCAAAGGTCTATTGGTAATCCCCCTTATGTAGGCTGGGAGGTAGTTCAACAGTCTTGGACCCCGGACACTTATTGTGTTGTCTTTCAACGTACTCGTTGCACCCCCACTATTCATTGGGGGAATGTTACATCTCCTGCCGAGTCTTTTGCTTTCATAGGGAGTGATTTTCGTGTGCAGGTTTGGTACCAATCCCTCCAGGATCTTCCAAGTGTGTAATATCATGTATCTCTCTCACCTGCATTCCAGGGAATACAGATCAAGGCCCTTCAACCATTCCCAGTAATTTAGGTGCCTTAAGGTGCTTATATGTGCTGGGAAAGTTCTTTGTACATTCTCCAGGTCAGCAATATCGCCAGCCTTGTAGGGGGTCGTTAGTGTACAGCAGTATTCCAGCCTAGAGAGCACAAGCGATTTGAAGAGAATCATCATGGGCTTGGCATCCCTAGTTCTGAAGGTTCTCATTATCCATCCTACCATTTTCCTAGCAGATGAGGTAGATACATTGTTGTGGTCTTTGAAGGCGAGGTCCTCTGACATTATCACTCCCAGGTCCTTCACATTACTTTTCCGCTCTACTGTATGGTTAGAATTTGTCATATACCCTGATACGTTTTTAATTTCTTCAAGTTTCCCATATCTGAGTAGTTGAAATTTCTCCTCGTTGAACTTCATATTGTTTTGAGTGGCCCATTCGAAGATTTGGTTGATGTCTGCTTGGAGTCTCACAGTGTCTTTGATGGAGGTCACTGCCATGGTAATCTGGGTGTCATCCGCAAAGGAAGACACGGAGCTATGAGTTACATCTCTGTCTATGTCAGCAATGAGGATGAGGAATAGAAAGGGAGCGAGTACTGTGCCTTGTGGAACAGAGCTTTTTATCGTGGCTGCCTGGGACTTTACTCTGTTTACTATTACTCTTTGTGTTCTGTTTATCAGGAAGTTATAGATCCATCTACCAACTTTTCCTGTTATTCCTTTATCACGCATTTTGTGTGCTATTGCACCATGGTCACACTTGTCGAAAGCTTTTGCAAAGTCTGTGTATACTACATCTGAATTTTGTTTATCCTCTACAGCATCCAGGACCTTGTCATAGTGATCCAGTAGCTGGGACAGGCAGGAGCGACCTGCTCTAAACCCGTGTTGCCCTGGGTTGTGTAATTGATGGGTATCTAGGTGGTTAGCGATCTTACTTATTATGACTTTAGTAATTAACTTATAAGTACTAGAATTTGGTGATTTGCATATTTTGGTTATTATAATGAAATAAAAATGTATATTCATTATATATATATATATATATATATATAATATATATATATATATATATATATATATATATATATATATATATATATAATATAATATATTATATTTTTTTTTTAACAAGTCTGCCATCTCCCACCGAGGCAGGGTGACCCAAAAAGAAAATACTTTCATCATTCAACACTTTCACCTC